TGTGTGTGTGTGTGTGCGCGTGTGTGTGTGCCCCTGTGTTTAGCCAAAAGCTTACATTTGATGACATTTTTTGTTGCTCTTTTAGCGTTTCTTCTTGGGTTTAAGAGGAATTCAAAGCTCCATTTGTCCCTTTTCTAATGGAGTTCGAGTATTTCGACGCGACTGCTTTAAATTGTTACCGAAAGGCTAGACATAGCTCCACTCGTAGCTCCCCCCCCCTCCCCCTCATCCTCCTTTTCCCGCTTTTTTCCCTATCAAGACATCCTCTAGGCCACACGTAGACCACCCGATGGAGTCGAGCCTTCACGCAGAGGCAAGCATAACATCACTCACACTCAGAAGCACACAACTCTCAGTACAATAGGTACGCAATTAAACAGAGCTCAACACCAGAGAACCCAGAACACGACTGCATATTTTAAAAGCAATCCCAGAAACCATAAACAAATTCCAAAACAACGAAAAAAACTCGTCAAACCCTTCTGCTTGAGAGTCCTTGAGGACCTCAAAAACATACACTTTTCCAAAGAAACCTTTTAAAAGGTTTTAACCTTTTAAGATCTAACTATTGACCCGAGCCCAGCCGTACACTGAACTGTTGCGAATAAAACTAACTTGTGTTTCGCGCGCTCATATGGCCTTATGAAAACCCCATACTAAACTTTTAAAAAAATGAAAAGTAAACTACCGAAGGTAAGCAGGTATAATAGCCTCAGGGCACAGCAACCTCCCCCCGCCCCACTCACCGGCCCTGTTAATTTGTCCCCATCTCACTCCATCATTAATTAAGTGGGTAAGATCTTAACAGATCCACCCGTCCAAAAAAATGGGAGCTATACATGGGCACATGTACAACTTCATTACAGTAGAATTAGCACACCGTAAATAGAATTAATGTTTAATTGTTTTCTTGGGTCTGGATTCCAAAAATCTATCAGAAACACATCAATCATATAGCACTTATTTTAGGTTTTTCACATCCCCGCCCCAACAAACCCCATTTCATTTGCATACCAGCATAATGTAGGAGGGTACCGTGGCCTTATGATTGCGAATGTGCAATATGTAACTTGGGGGAACATTATTGTTCCAGTCTTTTAAAATTAAATATTCGTCCTTGCCTATTTATTAATAACTCAAGACTTGAAATTAGAATCCATGTGTCATGTAGAGATGAATTAAAACCATACAATACTATTCCCTCTGGAAGTTCCGAGGGCCCACTGTTACCAGAAATGTGTTTCAATTGGGACAACAATAACTAGGCCTACTACTATTTATTACTGTGGTGATTCTGCAGAATGTGCAGCAGGCATACATGTAATATACATGTATATTATACATGTATATATCTATCCCTCCGAAAACATTTTTAAAATTATGAGTAAGCGTCTAGTGTGAGAACTCGTAGAAATTCCAGCACCAGATAAATCATTGATCTGCCTCCGTATTCAAGATACGTTTGTTAATCGTAAAAATTGACACCGCACAACATGATTTCAGAGAGGACAGTGGCAATTGATAATACTTATACTACTGGCTACTTGTCTTCGGGTCCTTGCCCCAATGTCCCCATGATGACTCAGATAATCAATGTGACTTGCACAGTGAGAATTAAAAGGCTTAAAATGAGATGCAGCCCCGTTGACAAAGCTCTTGGGGTGTGTTCTGTTATGTTTAGAAAGGTAGGCCGACTATAGGGCTGCTTCGCAAACTTGAGGTATCAAAAATAATCTAAATGATTGAGACGGCGACATAAGTTTGTTTGAAAATTACTTTTCTGACAATGAAACTTTCTATTTTACCC